GTCATCAAAATATAAGGTCACAATATTAAAATCAATCAAATTTTGTATTTTAATTACCTATATTATTAATAATAAATTCAAGATTTGGAGAAACAATTAAGAAAAATAACAAAAATTTTAAATTTTGAGTTCCATATTAAAATTTTGTCTCTGAATTGAGTCTCTAATTATAAATTTGTACTTTAACACATTTTTAGGATAAGAAACAAGAACAAGCTGTCAAATTACAAGAGTAGCTATAACATCTATAGTCATCTAGGTCTTCACATAGACATGACAAAATATGCTTGTATTGAATATATTAACAGGAAACACCTGAACCCTGGGAGGCAGGTCAAAGGGCAACAAAGTAGTTATTAATAAATAATAAACATGCAAGTGACTATATAATTATTCAGACGTGGAGGACAACACAATTAATAATAAATTAGTCCTAGATCAAAACCCAGTCTAATTATACTCGTAAATATTGGAGCTAATCATAAAATATCATTTACTTAATATTCAATGACAAGTTACAGTGTGAAAACAATGAATGCAGTTACCGTATTTGTTCTATTGGTAGCGCATACACTTTAGTAAATTACAAACATTTTTCTATGGTCCAAATATTTTGATGATTCAGAATATAAATGTGATTTCTGTTGGAGATACACTTCTAATAGAGCATACCTAGTACATTGTAAGCTGTTTAAAACGGTCATATGCAAAACATCCCAAAGTTCACACATCCTGGTACTTTGAAGTTAATATTCTTTATTTATGAGAATTTCTCAAATATTCTTCTCAACAAGGTAAGCAGTGGTCACTGAGGTTCAAAAACAGATTACTGAAGAATACTTTATTTTCCCTTGGAATTAATTTTCGTTTAAAGGAATGTTTCAGTGAAAATAAAATCCAGCGAATAAATCTTTTTCTCTATATTTTACCATTCATATTGGCAAAAATCAGTGAAAATAAATTCCATACAAAACGTCAGAAAAATGTATTCAGCGAAAATTATTTCCAGCTAAAATAAAGTATTTTACAGTAATATGACACAAACTGAGATATAATAAAAAACAATAACACCAAAAAATGCCCAGATACCCGTGTGGAGCCATGCATAAGTTTCACTATTTTCTGTATATAACAAAATCTTATGTTGTACACATTTATTGCGGCATTTAATGGCGATGTTATATCATGATGTTAAAGTAGAAAAACATCCATAATTTAAATCAAGTAACATCTGGAAACAGTCTGACTGAATTTATAAATCAAGAGGGAATGGAATTTTTTTCATCATATTTTTTTCAACTGAGTATAAGAAACAGACTGGTATATATTATATTTTTTCAATGTTATATAAGGTTAGTATTAAAACGTAACAGTTGTATAAAAATAATTGCTTGTATACATAAAATGCAAATTAACACTATGATGACCATCATCTGTTCATAAAGCAGACGATCCATGACTATCATCATGAACCTGTATTTGATCATGTTATGTAAAGCTGCAGTTGACATCAGTTAAATTGAATGATTTGATTTGGAACAGAAAATGATTGGGATCCACCAATCAGCATTCCTGTAATAACAGCTCAAATCATTTTCAAATCCAAACCAATAGACTTTGTCACCTAATACAGTGCAAGTGATAGAAACACAATTTTGCATTGAATTTTCCATGGAAATGAACCACAACCATACCAAAGAAATGCATCATAGCCTATGCAGTTATTTTTTTTATTTCATCAACAGCGAATACAGATTCATATTGGAATTCTGCTAAGCTATAATGGTAAGATGACAGCCGAATTAATGAAAGATGGCTAGCGAAGATGCACAACGAATGTATAGTGCTTTAACTCCAGGAAATATGTTTCTAAGTGGAGGAATCTTGACAACAGGAAGAACCTCTTTTTACCATTACTGAAGGCTACAGTGTGTCTATCGTTTCAATTTGTACGAGTCTCATTAGTGTCAAACTATTTCAATGATAAATTGGATGATTTATAAAACGCTAGGATTTATATTGACATTATTATGCAATGCTGTAATAGATAGATTGAGACTATGAACTGACATACTGCGAAACCATTTATTTTCACCGACATTTAATTTCACTATTTTGTTGTTTTGAGCAATTTAATTGGGTTTTAAGGTTCACAAACTCTACAGGGAAACAATGAGTTCTATTGTTATTCCACATGTTCATATGGATTAAAATTTTACTTAACCACGAAAAGAGCAAAATTAAAAAGAAAAAATTATAGTAGTTCCATATTCAGGCAGGCATACACATGTATGATACATCATTATGAATGGACAGCTTCAACCTGAACAATTAATATTCAATATTGCTAGATTTTTAAAAGCATTTAAAGGCTAGTAATTTTCTAAAGCGTCTAAATCACCTCATCCTTAGCTCTGTCAATTAACATGTTAACATCATTATGTATGAACAAGTCTAGAGTTTTAAAGTTAATATGCATTCTGTATTTTTTTTTTTTTTTTTGCATTCTGGATTCATTAATCTTCTTCTGGATACCAAAGTCAACTTGTATATAATTTTTTTAAATTTTCAATCAAATGAATATAATTTTCCCATTTAAAAAAAAAATATATTTTCCTATAGGTTACAGACCTTGTTCAACATTTTTGACAACATATAGGGAAATATTGTCATTTCATTATTGGCTAATTTCAAAAAAAAAGAAATATGTAAAAAAGGATGTGGATTTATTTTGTGAAATGTGTTGTGAAAAATAGAGATTGCAGTTCAAAGGGTTAACAAGATCATTATCACTGTTATAATACATTCAAAGTACAGTACCTTGATGCATACATAAGCACTGTAGATGAAATAAAAAAGGACATGGGCACTTTGGTTGCAGAGTTGGCATGTGATTCAAATCATTTGCTTATTGTCTATCTTCATGTAAATTGCTGTCACTATCATAGCATGAACAATTCACTGCAGTGTGAACTAGATCAAATTAGTAAAGTGGGAAGGAAAGGGGTTTCTACTCGAAAAATTGTTAACTTTATAGCGCCAATAGTCACTTTCAACAAATTTAAACACATTCCAAAATTTCAAAAGTTTTGATGAAGATATGTAGCAAGCAAGGAATTATGTTCATTATGTTTAAAATTATCAAAAATTCCCAAAGAATAGCAAAATGTAGCTCTAAAAGTTTGGTGAGAAAAAAAAAAGAGTTAATAAATGCAAGTAAACACACTACGTAGCAATAAGAGGCAACGACACTTTTTCAGCTCAGTATAGAGGATTGTTGTTACCATGGTAATTGAATTGTGCCAATAGTTCATACGTACAGTAAAGCGTTTCATGATGTCAAAGGATGACTGTCAGGAAAAAATTTCATGAAACCAACAATGAAATGTTCACTACTGCAAACATTGAAATTTTTCCCTGGACAAATTAAGATAACAAGTACTGCTTCTTTGATAAAACCATGAATTTTAGATAATGCCTAGCAAATATAGTGTAAACAGTTGAATTTTTACCACTATCAATTTTCCATAGAATAATTTTAGCAGTTTTAGTGAGGAGATGAAATTGCTGTGATTCACTGGCTTAAAAATCTCAATAAAAGTTTCACTGCTATGAAATATTCTTCACTACTACCAACCAACTCAAGAAAATTTATCTTATTGTGAGAAAAAAATAGTATACAGTAGCACCTTAACATTAAAATAATCAAATTTAAACTCTGTTACAATTATGATACTAAACTTGTATTGCTTCTAATGTAACGTTTTTACATTTGCACAAAAGTCAATGCGAGCCTCCCATTTACCAGCCAGCATCAAAATATTCACTGCTAGCAAATTTTGCGATTTTTGATTCCCTGATGTGTGGCCGTCTCTTGCTCGGCCATTTTGTTTATACAATAATATATTTGCTCAATTAGAAGCATACACAAAGTGCAACAGAATGCAAACAACTTAAAAATCACTTTCGCTTCAACCTTTACCTTTATTTTAAAATTTTACACATGTGCATTTTGTAGCAAAATTATTTCCCAACATGTTACCTTGAGGAAAGCTATTGGAAATGTCTCCAAAAACCAGTATTTGATACATTTCAACATTTTTTTATCAGCCACACTTTAATATATGTATAACAAAATATTTCATAGTGTATATAGTTTACATAAATCATGTACTAATTTTCAAGTTGTTTTAATTACAATATTTTTGATAAGAGACTTTTGCATAATTTGAAATCATATACTATTAGATTTCAATTGGAAATTATTGTTTACTAGAAAATCTGTAAATTTAAAAATTGGTGAATATGATAAAATACCAAAATAGTAAAATTTATTAAATTCAGGCTTATACTTGAGAATTCTTATCCAACTTATGCAACAACAATAAAATGTAACAAAAATATATTTTTTTTTGGTCAGCATAACAAACTTTTTTATTTGTTTCTAACATAATTATGTAAACATGAAATACAAAACGGCAAATTCGCCCCATTTTTTGAGCGTCTCAGAGAAACAAATTATTTTTTTCTTTGGCCTGATTAAAGCTTATTCAACATGAACGTTTAACATTTAGCTAAAAAATTTCGTGATGCAGAGAATTCAAGAAAAAGTTGACGACAAAATCTTGAAAATAATAACACATTTTATATTTAAAATTTATATATCAGTTACAACATGTAGGTCATACAGAGAACTCTTACAATAAATACTGAGAGAATGGCATGTATCATTTTGCAGGTTTCAGACGTAACTATACTAAAAGGTAGCAAATGGCAATAACATGCTAAGACAGCCCATTAAAAAAATCATTTTACAATCATTCATATTTTGACAAATATTGTCTGACTCGTCTGATGAATATAAATCAACGATAACACTGTCAACATAGTGACTCATTATCAACATATTTATTCTTTGATATTTCAAAGCAACCCTATTTTATTTCCGTTCGTAAAAAAAAGTACTATTTTAACACAAGAAAAAAGCATGATGTACTCACTGCATTATCTTCACGGCAGCAGCACCATGACAGCACCATACTGTAGCTTGAATGGACTCAACGCATCAAGCAGAGGCAACCTCCAGCAAATGCAGACAGCGATAAACTGCTGGTGTTAGTTTCCTTGCTCCGAGCTGAACAACTGGGTATTTATGGTTAAGGTCAATAAGGCACATACCCTGTAATATATGCAATATGAAACAAGTCAATGCACTGAGCTCTACCATGCAAAAAACACATGGAAACATTATGTGTTAATTCTGATATCTGTTAAAATATACCATCACGTACGTTGCATGCATGGCCATGAATATTAAGAATACACGAGCACGTACTGACATGTATACAACTATACAAACTCCTTAGGGAGATAGATGAATTTGTTCAGATAATTGATGACATAATGCAAAGATGTATTTCAAACATCATGTTGGAAAGTAGTTCAGTAAATTGATGTACAGATAGTGATTGTTCAACTTAATAAATACTCTATATGTAAACCGTTGAATTTTGGTTGCTAGAAATTTATTTTATTCACTGACTAGTAGCTTTGTGATGAGTGGCCTTCGCGGTGAGTTGCTTTTTCAAAAAATAGGGCTTTGTCGCAGTAATTGGTCTTTTCATCAGAGTTGAGAATTAATGTTTATTGTGTCATCAACAACAGGTGTTAATCTTGGAATACCATCCTTAGGAGCTGTTAATTTATCCTTATAATTTGTGCAGATCCTTTGTCAGGAGTTCCTAAATAAGACCCATGCTCTGATATAGCTACCGAGTTTCTTACTTTGACAGAGAAAAATTTGACCATTTATAGCATTTTTGTGAAACTGCTTAGTGGCATACTATAAGTAATGATCTTATTGCTGTTGCAGAAGGATAGTTGAATACTGTTTATTGAAATTAATAATCCCCAGCACAATTTTCCAATATAGATTAGAAATTATAGTTTATGTTATTATAATTATACATATGTTTCAAACTATAATTTCTAATGTGTTGCAATACAACAAAATAAAATCAAGAAATTGCATTATAAATATTCCATCCGAGACAATGATTGGTGTGTTTCACGGTCAGTGTTATTTTCAAAAATATTTGTTCAAACTGGCTTAGCAATTAGATATAATGTCACAGCATGTTGGCAATATTTAACTGATCCAAAATCACTCTCGACAATTTTGTTTACTTATGTGTACTATGGTTGTATTTGAGCTTTTTATCGTTTACATATATTATGACTCATAAAAAACAAAAAACACAATTCAATGCACATGAATTTCACGACAAACGTTTCAACAAATGTTTCAATGTCCTGGTTATCTCTGGTGCGACTGCAGTTTTCGAAACAAACTTGAGAGACTGTAAAAATGCAATTTACTGCACGTAATTTAAATTACCCAACAACGGTCAATGTTTTAGTTGTCTGTGGTATGGGAAATGAGTCAAGAAAAATTAAAATGGCTATGCTATGAAAAAATGAAGACCTTGAATGTACTTTAAGTACAAAGTAATTTTTTGTTTGATTACCTAACGCTTTTAGGTTCAGGTGTTGCATGTTAGAGTGCACATACCTAAGCGGCTGTCCTTCAGCAAATGATTAAGCCAAGGCACCCCCCCCCCCTCGGTGTCAAAATCCCTAAACTGTTCGTTTTTACGCAATCTGGGAAGTCCACGTTACTAAATAAAGTACAGGACAACGAAACTTAAATATTCAAGGACCAACACATACCAACAATTATATCTCAAAAGTAAATATTCATGGTATATTTTAATTCTAATCGGACCGGAAGTGAGAATTTGCTACTACATGTACTCTAAATATGCAAACATATTCTAGTATAAGGTAGTAACAATATTTTAGTTATATTATGACTCATAAAATGCAATTTGACCGTTGAAAATAAGAGGGTTAACAGTATATATTATAGAAGAGGTACCCTGGTATACATACTGAGTTAAACAAAAAGATCACTACTACATGTACAAGTAAATCTACCATCAAGAAAAGCAATTGTCAATATTTCGGACACTTAATGAGAGAAAATGGTTTACAAAAGATTGCTACGAGATGGAAAAATAAATGGAAAGCAAGGAAGAGGCAGACAAAGAACAAAGTGAATGGATAACATCAAGAAGTGGATGAAACAAAGCTGAATGTGTTAGAAGTGCAAAGGAAAGACCTGAATTGAGATTCATGACAGCTGCTCAGAGCAGATGGCACTCTATCATCATCATGATACTGTATTTGCTGTATTACAAGCGCATCTCTAACAGAAGCACACACACAGGTACATGTTTAACTTAGAATTTAAGACAAAAATTGCATTCATTGTATGCTGGATCATTGTTTTACCAAAAATGTTATTGCTGTCAACTGATAGAAATTGTATTTTTAAGGATTCAATAAATTATTATTAAAATTACTTTGTCCACACAACTGTGCTATAAGTACACACATCACTAGTATTAATACATCAAAAATGGTCTTTATGTTGTATCACTAAATATTGACAGATGTATGAAACAGGAAGTGGCAGCCAAATGGCCAAAATTACTGACATTTTTTATTGCCACAGCTGTCTGTGTTAACATATTTTGTTGCAGATGTCATTTAATAATAAATATATATACATTAACAAATTTTGCTATTTTGTCAAAAAGTTAGTTACAGAAATCTCTATAAATCTTGCGCTATTGAGAAATGCAAGCAGAACAATATTCATCTCAGGGGTCAAAAAAAAAATATCTTTAAAATTGGTTTTCCATATTAAAATATAAAATTTATCCAATAAAATATTTTGCATTCAATCCAGCTTTGAACAACAACTTGTTTCACCTTTCTCAAAACAAAACTTTATTAAAATTTGATAACTATCCTGTCAGTGAAATTAATTTTTTTTTATTTTAGCAAAAACATCATAGACCATAATACACTACTGGTATATATATAATACTGGTGACGTGTATATTTATTACCATATGAAACCAGGGTAATTTTACTGTTTCTTTAAATCTATGTAGTTTTTCTTTATATTTCTTGTTACTACGGGCCCTTGCGTTATTTATTATGGTAACCCGTATTTGTGACGTCATGGACAAGTTTTGGCCTCATGATTGACGCCCATTGAGACACGCTACAGTGATTGGTGCGTCCCAGGATGTCACGCCACTCCGCGCGCAAGAGAAGAAGGTGCAGGAGGACACAGAGAAAAAGATGGCAGGAGCTGAAAGCGGGATTGTGTTGGAAATGTGAACACGAACGTGTTCTGGAAAGCATCAAGTCGGCGTACAACAAACTAGGAAAGAACTGAGTTCAGGGTGTTGCAGCCCGCGGATGAGTTCATGTTATTCCCTTACCGCGAAGAAATCAAAGTGACTGTTGAACTTGCATTGCGCCAACTCTGTTGACATCCAGCGTTGGACTGTGTCGTCGATGATTGAATAGATGCGACTCAGGAACTGGTCGATAAGCAGTGAGTGATCATTTGCAACATATGGCTCAAGGAACTTGACGTACATCAGATCGTGGAGCCTAGAATCATCGGGAGTAGTTGTGATTTCCTGTGAGTGGCCGTGTTCTCTGGAGACGCCATTGCGTCATCGCTGATTATACTTGCCTCATGGTCAGCGAATTTTCAGGACTGTACAGAACGTTGTGAACTGGTTGGCGATTTTTTTGACATGCTACTATATATTTTTGACATAAGTTTATTATTGTATTATGTATCATTTTATGAGAACTGACGATAGCAGTAAAGCTATTGTGTTCTCACTGTAAAATTTCTGTAAAGCACGTATTTTGTAATTTCGGAAATTGCCGTTGTACTTAGACATGTTGTTGCCATGGCGTTTCTATATTGAGTGAATTACTAGTTTAAATATTAAATCTGTTTACTTTACAATTTGTATTTTATTTATTTTTATTTGACAAGTCAGTTGTTCGTTCCCCCAGGAGGTATAAATGCCTGTATGCTCCTCACCACGCCAAATTAGCTAGCCTGAAATTCGAATACGATTATTTTTATGAAATTGGGAGATTCGCACCGGAGCCTAAATCCGGTTATCCACGTCCTTCATTGTGCGTAAAACGAAATATCTCGCGGTGGACTTGGTGCGAAAAATACCCGAGTTTCACATAGTTGTCTAAGTCGGATACCAGTTTTTATATTCAGTTTTTATGACAAAGCCAGACAAGTGTCAACTTTAATCCTTGCATGTATCAATATTTTAACTAATTTTATGAATTGATATCATCCTCATTTAATGACACTGCATCCTGTGGATAACTTTGATATCAGTTTTCGATTACCTATTTTCACTATGTCCATATTCTACAGTATTTGATCCACAACAAGTGTTATATTGTGACCCTGTTATCTTTTGAGTTCGTTGTTATCTTTTGAACCATTGTTACCTTTTGATCCAATTGCTACCTTTCGACCCTGTTGTTTTCTCTATTGACCAGGTTATCTTTTGACCAGATTGTTACTTTTCAACCCCATTATCTTCTGACCCTGTTATCTTTTGACCTTATTGATCCTTTTTGACCAAAGCTGTTACCTTTCAGACCCCGTTGTTACCTTTCGGCCTCGTTGTTATGCCTCGACCCCATTATTTTTTGACTCCATTCTTATTTTTTGACCTGTTGTTACATTTTGACCCTTTCGCTATCCTTCAGCT